TTGACCAGACACTCCAGTGATTGATAACGGGGTTCAACGACAAGAATTAAGCTCAACAAGCCTTACCACCCGATCCAGTAGGTTGCTTTTTACACACAGCATTGTTCCCAGACGGGCCAGTCCGAAGGGTGCGCTCAAGAGAATGCCACATGCTCTCCAACATGTATAAACAATGTCCTAAGTATTCTGTCAAACGTCTTGTTATCTTAAAATGAACAATGTGGAGAACCCAATTCCATGAACATGGCAACATGTCTGTGTTTCTCATCGCCTGTCCGAACCGAAAATACAGAAAGTCTTTTTATTTCCGCCTCCTAGAACTCAGAACCTACCGACTGCTCATTTCTTCCTTTGTTAGTGCTGGGATGAATGCTGAAGATAGCGGACAAGTGAACATTCGCAAGAAGGTAGAGCGCTAGATATTAACATTGTTCTTTTCACATTCCATTTATTAATACACTTAATCATATATTTAGGAGTACAGAAACATTATAATGACCGATGTGTCTAACTTTGTGAGCGTAGCATCTGATACAATCTATTTTGATGTTCTTTGCTGTATTTCTTTGTTTTTGTTTTTCTTTGTCTCTGCTGCTCCGGTTTGCGGGGCAATCTGTGTTATGGATTCAAAATATGCAAATTTGACAACAAATTATGTTGCTGTATCTATATCCAGAAAACCAAAGAAAACATAACAAATATTTTTTTGTGACACGTGTTTTCCAGATACAGAATTCTCATATCCCCTCCAAAACAGGCAAAACAAAGCTTAATCAAAGTTATTCCTTCGTTTATGATGTAGATATGAACAGTTTTAACTCTTACTTTTTAATTTTAAACCGACGGACCGACCCAACTTTAGATCACGGTGGCTACGTAAAATACATGAAAAAAAATGTTGCCCATACAAAGTAATGTTCTTAAAATTTTATTCGGTTCTTTTCACAACAACACGAGATGAATAAATAACCGTGGTTCTGATGTGCTCATTCGTTGATTAAAGTTAATTCACGAACATACCACTAGATACCCAAAACACATAACAGACAGAAACTGTACATTGGCACTGTATTTCTGTACAAAGTTCCTCAACAGACACTCTCTGGGGTATGATAGTCAGGTCAAGCTTCTACAACACGAAACGGGGGCCAAGGATGGCCCAGTCGTCGAAGACGAACTCTTTCTGCAGAATTGTCTCCCATGAGCGCAGCAGGAACCTATGATTGTGGTTTTGTATGCTGTTTAGCCAATAATGTTTCACAAATCTGTTGAGTTTCACAAATCTGTTAATCTGAGAAATACGTGACTCTGGACTATTTCCCACACCGAGCTGCGCGGCCTGATATGGCTGAATACTATTCAGTGTGGTTTAGTTAATGCGTTCGCTCGTCACGCCACGAGTACAATGTTAGAGCCAATTTCAGGTGACTCCCACCGTGATTTTGTTGGAATATAAATAAAATCGGCTTAAAACATTTGCCATTCTTTCAACATCTGCTTAACACGAAGCTACTATGAAATAGCGCTGTTGTTGCATTTGGAGGACATGTCTGAAATGGCAATGGTCTTGGCTCAATGAGATGTAGTCTTAGGAACGAAGAGTAAATAACAACAAACAACTTGGTCTTGTTAAACATGTTTAGTGCATGAGCCTGTTCACTTTGTGATCACCTGAATGGTTCGCCTGTTCACACGATAAAAACGGTATGGATGAAACGGGGATGTTGTTTGGATGGGTTAATGAGGATGTGGAAGGGATTTGACGGTTATGGGATGGGATCTTGCGGGTCGGGATGGAATCTGGCGGGCTGGTCAGGGTACAGAATAGCTGACTATTTAGAAAATATAAAATAACAATATCTGCATAAAATATTATAATCATAATAGTTCGTAAGATACTAGTTTTCATTTTCAAATATGACAATAATAATATCGATCTAAATATGTTTCTAAAACATCGAAACAATGTCATTTTAATAACGTATACATACAATAAGCACATTTTGTCAGAGAGATCTGAGTTTTGGCACGCATTGTGATTAATTGACTTATCACAATGCCTCTATCACAGATTACTTACTATCCACATGGATAAACAATGAAGTCGATTGTGCAAATTGAGATTCCATCGAAATATGACAGAATTTCGACATTTGATCAAATGGCTTTGACCATGACCTTTTTTCAATTACTAACCTTGATGACCCCTGCATGGGTTACTTGAGGTCGTGTCAAACGTTGAAGCTGAGCAAACAAAATTAATTCAGTTTCTATATTGACCCTTTCCCCTTCCCCGCGTGATTAAAACTACATTAGAATACATCGATGAACGAATAATGAATATTATGATATTATGTAGCAACGGCGCACTAATGAATCTGCTTCTGCAGATCGACATTGATTATTCTTTGATTGATATTCGAGCTTAATTATTCTGTGGCACTGGCGCTTTGAATTTGAGATGATCAAACCTTTTGTCCTCTTCATAAATGTCACTTTAAATATCAACACAGATGACTCAGTCTAAACCCAGACTTCACAAATTTAGCTTCAGTTTCAGGGATGTTTCCGGAAGAAAAGTGTCCAGTGTCCAACGTTCTCCTTGTCCATCTAGCAAGATTTATCGAGTAAATTACCTATATGTAACATCACAAGGTTAGGATTTTGTTAAGACGCAAATATGTGCGATGTCCATTTGCAAACACAGGACCTAAATCAAACAATTGATCACATGTATGCAACAGGCTTAACAAAATCAAAAAATCTAATGCAATCAATGGATCTGATAATACTTGATCCCATGCGCGCAGTGGAAAAAAGGATTCAATGCGAACAACTGATCCAGCACAAAACAGCAGATGGTTTGCAGAGCAATTATCACAATAGATCTAAATGAAGATATTAAACACCATGCTAGCGCCAGTTTGTGGGATGACAATAAAGTCTACATTTTTCCACAATCTCTCGTCTGTAATAACCAGAACAGCCCAGAAGAGGCTACAAATACCTGTTTTTCTTTAAAAAAACCCCCAATGGTCTGAATTTAAAATTTTGAAATATTTATCATTACAAGACCGGAGTTATCAATACTATTCAAAAGCTAAAACCAATTCAGCAATATGTTACGTTACCTTTTCGTTTTCGGATAAGAAAATTAGAGTTACATACCCTTAGTTTAAAATCCGGAAAACTAACAGACACAGTGTTGAAAATGACACGGACCGAAACCAAAAACAAAAGACTTTATTGTCTCCCATGCTCATTGTTTCATTCACCTCAGCTGAAACCCATTGGAACCAAATTGGCATAGCTCTACAAAGTAAGCTTCCTGTTTTGCATATATGTTTAACGTCAATCAGTTACAGTGCAATTGTCATCGTATCATGTACAAAATATCACATAGATTCAAAACTGCATGTTTTACACAAATAGGGCCATTTTTACATAGTACAACTTGTAACTAGGCCAGTTTTTTATATCATCAAAATATCAACATTCGTTGGGAAATTTCTTGATAACATAACCATATATACAACGTAACTGACAGATAACGATATGGTACAGCTCTCACTAAAAACAAGTGGCAATGCTGTTCGGCGAGTGGACTGATGCAATACTCTTGGACACATGGTAGGCTTGTGGGGATGAGAAAATAATACCTCCTGTTTACTCGCTCCATTCTTTCAGTAACCAGTATTTGTGAAAGAATTGAAATAGCAATGGTACGGATAATGATAATATACTACTAAAAAGTTGAAGACCAATCGATGTTTTTCTTTCTACAATTTTAGACAAATTTTGTGAATGGCGGGTGCTACCACTAGGGCAGGTCACCTGGTGTCATCGCTGATTGTCAGTGATCCATTCATATAATTTTCACAGTTATCTTCCTTATTGCATCAAATGGAATTTCTGACGATAGTCAAGAGTGACGTTTTGTTTGAGTTTGTGTGTGGAAGCCATATGGCTGTCGTTATTGTAACTTGAGGTACAATCGGAATTGTTTCGGAGAATATTCAAGATATGGGTATTCTTTTACACTGACGTTATGTACTGTTAATCTTTGATGGCTTGTGGGTATTGAAAAATCCAGCTTTCCGATTTTAGTTTTCTTCAACTTGTTTTGAGTAGCATTAGCAGTTTGCAGTTATTTGACAACACCACGCTATGTTCCTCCCAACATTTTACAGCAAAAAGATGACAGCGCGATATGGCTCACGAAGAGCAAGCCAATGTTTTTCCTTCTGTTAGAGCTTAAAATGTCAACTAGCATTATTGAATTACAGCCATATTTGTGTGTACAGTCTTCCGAAGGAAAGCTGAAGAACCGAAAGCAGATTTGACCTTTTCGTTAAAATTCGGATACAATGAGCAAGCGGCTGAAATGATTAAATTACAAATGTAAATTTGGCATGATATGGGAAGATTAACCGATGAAGAAACAGATCAATTTGAATAACAACTAAGCCTGTCGAATATTGCTCGCTTAAATCTGCGTTTCAGCGCCTTTCTATCACAGGAATACTTAACTGCTTGTTATTCGAAAATGAAAAGATAACTAGGCAAAAACTGACATGATCCAGTCGAGATACACTGCAATTGGGAGATTATTCTGTTGAGCTGTGGGAATACATGAATATTCAACAGGAACAATAACGTTTTTACATGGGATTTCCTCGTTGTGGGGAACAGGCAGCAGTGTAAAACACATCTCGATATTTATACATTCGATGATTTATGGGACTATTTCATTAGGGCACATCCTTCACTCGGTGGTATGGACAATCTGACATGAAAATGAGCAGGAAGAATTTTGAAAGGAAATTGATGCATTTTTCTATAAACTGCATCTGGACAAATGCTGTTAATTAATGAACGTTTTACATCAATATCCACCATGTTATTCATATAAAATGCCAATGCAGTCTGCGTTTAAATACCCAGAAAACTACCAGGTATTCATAGTTGGACAGATGGATATGAATACAGTAAAACTCGACTGTCTAATAATTGCGATACATGGTCGCAATTAAGCTCCCAGTTTGTCTTTAAAAAACTGTTAGCTCTAAGTGTTAGTCTGTGTCGATCATTCGATGAGTCGAGTTAACGGGGTTTCACAGTGATCTGGTTTTAGGAAGTCCTTCGTAATACCAAGCAACATAACGAACTGGGTCCCGATACAGAAAACGTTCGTAGCGCTACGACATTCGTAAGCCTATGGTAAACTGAGTTACGGGAGTTCGTAACGATACGAACGCTTTGTGCATCAGGGCCCTGATTTGGAAAATGTAAAAGTACCTAAACGGGCAAAACGTTAGTCAAACCTAGCGTTAGTTATACTGTTTCTATCGCAGCACTCAGCTCCCCGCCTTGGAGAGCTTGGCCCACAAACTTGTAACATCTTTCTGAACTTCCGGCGGAAGTTCTGGTTACAAAGTGGGTAGAGGAAAGGGTTGAGCGTGGAGTTGAGGTAGCCTACCCACGTCATCGCTGTAAGGAGTCCAGGGTCAATACAATCATCACAGAAAGCAACCACTAAAAACAGAATGAAATAGGGCAAAAAACACACTGTAAATGCTCCCATGATGACACCGAGCTGACGAGCAGCCTTGATTTCTTTCGTTAACGAAGATGACTGGCGAAATGTCTTAATTCTTTCTTTTATATTTAGCATACCAGTCAGTCGTCTATTTTTATCGTCCCGTAAGACGAATAAATTCTTTTCCCTGCTGTTCTGCCGACTCCCGTCTGACACAGCAACAGTCTTATCTAACAAACGTTCTGCTTGTCGTATCCGCCGAATGCCACTTATAAGAGAGTAGTTCTCTCCCCGTGACAGTGTCCGCTCGTGTTTGTCATTCGGCCTGTCTTCGAATGTACTCGCCGAGGAACTGGAATGAGACGATGAAGTCTCGGATCGAGCTCGACAATTTCCGGCAACAGCTCCCGGGTTTTTAATTTGTAAAGGCAAGTGTTCTTCATAATAATACCTCTCAATTCGCTCCGTTTGAGGATCTATAACGCTTTCATCGTATATATATTCCACTCTATAAGCAGCGGGCGTTCGAGCCTCTCGGGCGCTCATCTGTCTTTTAACGGCGACAAGACGAAGGTTTTTATAACCGTCTCGACTCTTTGTGGAAACACTCCGCCCGTTGAAGTGGGCGTTTTGAATAGTCCGTGATGCTATTACAGGATCTTCTGGTATAGAATGGGTATTATCATCCGTAAAAGTATCATCCCTGTGTTCGCTTTCATCTCCGGAATGCGACGGCTGAGGTCCGGTGATGTACGTCGGAACAGTTCCACAGTTTCTCTGTCCTAACTCAAATTCTGAACGTTTGCGAATTTCTTGGAATATTTTCCAATATAACGAATACATCACAGCTAGAGGCAAGTAAAAATTGAAAAACGCTGTCACAATTTTAAAGACAGAATCACGAGCATATTCAGTATCACAAACATCGTTTTCCACAGTTCTAACACCTCCATGAGCAATATGGTGCCACCCAACGATTGGAATAATCCACAAGCAGGATGCTGTCCACACGCATGAGATCATGATGAGCGCTCTCTTTTTGGTACGTTTCCTGAGGTACAGCAGTGGAGCGGTGACGGACCAGTAGCGGTCGAGGCTGAGGATGAAGAGGTTGAGGATGGAGGCGGTGGAGGCGATGTAGTCGATGCCGATCCAGATCTGACAGACGGCGACGCCAAAGAGCCAGTCGGTGGTGAAGATGTAGACTGTGGAGATGGGCATGACGCTGAGGCCGACGATCAGATCAGCTATGGCCAAACTGACGATGAACATGTTGCTCACCTGCAAATATACGGCAATAAGGTTACATGATGGACAGTTAATATAAGTGACTGAGAGACTTTAGTTTTATGCCGTTTTAAGCAATATTGCAGCAATATTACGTCGGGGGCATTCAAATATGGGCTTCAAACATGTACCCTTGTTGGGAATCGAACAAGGATCTTTGGCGTGACGAGCGACGCTTTAACCACTGGGCTACCCCACCGCCCCACGTTTAAAATAAAGCATCAGCGTTTTCAAAACATCTCGATTATTCGACGAAACAGATAACGGGAAAATAGTGGAAAAGATCACACGATTGCTATAAAGTGTGAACGTGAAGACGATTAGTTTTACATTGCATTATTCTTAACGATGCAAGTGCATGTAATACATGCTTATGATATAGGCAAAACATATCCAATGCACCTGGACTAGGTGTCACTGACTTTCAATGATCCATTCCAGTTATTATTTTTTAACACTATTTATCATTTTACATTCAGTGGAATATCTCGGTAGATAACAGAGACTGATAATTCTCTGACTTTAACGTTTGACTGAGAAAATTATGGAAAAATCCAGACTAAGCCATTGGTTGATGGTAAGAGCAATCGATCTTCATTTCGTGGACTTCATGGTATTCTGTATGATTTGGCTGACTAAACCAGTGGTTGATGGTTCGAGCACTCTGGTACAATGAGAAACAACCTTACATTGTGCCAAAAATCTTCACATTCGTGGAATCTTGCAACTGTGGCGATGCGATGTTGGATTAATCTCTTTCGGAACACCCACGAAGACTAACATCAGTAATATGACAATTCAACACATTTGGAATCGAACCAGAGCTTCTCCTTTATTAAACACGCGGACCATTTAGCTGTGGTCAAAGAAACTGACTTTGATGAGGTGCACCTGGAATGACTTCAGTGTGGTAATACTTCTATTTTTTCCTTTTTTTATAATTTAAGTCTTTTATTTCCCATTTTCATATATTACAAAAGTAGGTATACAGTAATGTGTATAAATCTGGATAACATTTTTGGGGGAGGTAGCATATGATATATTAGTGAGATTTTAAGTTATGATGTACATAAAGCACTAAGTTTCAACAGGTATGATAATGTACAGCAGATGACACTTAGAAGTGTTTTACAAATTAGAATGTTGTACCTATTATCTTGACTTGCAATGATGTACATAGTATATCGATGTTTGTATAGAGTATTTGACAGTTTCAACAGGTGAAAAGATAGCATTAGATACATACCACATGGATGATAATGTAGTGCATGTACATTGTATATCGATAGTTGTATAGAGTATTTGACAGTTTCAGCAAGTGAAAAGATAGCATTAGATATGTACAACATGAATGATAATGTACTACGGATAGCACATAAAATGTATTATGTCGTAATATATTATAATTATTCTTTTGACTTGTAATGCTGTACATAAAATTCAATAGTTGTATGGAGTATTTGTCAGTTTTAACAGGTGACGAATAAATGTTTTTGAGTAGGTAACATTATATACCTACACCATGCATGATAATGTACCACATGGCACATGAAAAGTGTTATACAGTCATAATGTGTTTATAGTTATTCTTTAGATACTTCTTGGTAAGTGTGTTTGCGAGTCATTGTCAGCAGCATTGGAGATATAACGCCAGCATCCAGTTACCTGAACATCAATTAGGAAACCCAGTGGTTGATATCACGACCAGCGCCCTCCGTCTACAATGGCACACTATCAACCAAAGGCCTCCGATTCGTTTCATGCAAAGCAGGAGATTTACGGATCTATAAGATCTGATGTAGTCCGGAGCTTTCGCAAGGGTGTAAAATAAGCTTACACAAGACTAGTTACTGAACATGCATACCCAGGCTTATTGCTCCACCCATTCTGTTGTAGGTCAATCAGGTGTGGACTGTTAAAACATAAACGTGTTACCCAATAAAATGTCAAAGGCCCACGTCGATTGCAGCAACAATAAGATTAATAGAGTCTATATTGGGATATTGCATATTTTGATATGGCTTGTTATTCCTTGTCATCAATGGTGTTCATGAGCCTTATTAGATAGAGGGGATTACAAGAGTTTTGAGTTTAATCATATCAACATTTGACATTAAGCGTAGATAACGTACGGAGGACGTCACTATCATCATGGCATGCACGTATTAATAGACCAGATATTCACTCGGTCACTTAGACCGTTTCAAATATTTCTAATGCGGAGGTCTTCCTCCTTACGGCTTGTCTACAGGTCCATATAAATACAGGAATATAAATACATTTACACCAAATGTTCATTTGCTGTTTAAAGATTACCCAATGGACAAATTTGTAAAGACAGCTCAATGTTTAATGCTGTTTACTCTTATCTAAGAGTACCCATAATGCACTCATTTGGAATGGTCAAGACAACCCAGTTTCTATTCGTGTCAGGCGATCGTAAACCATTGGACTACCCTACATATGCCAGTGGACAGAAGCTAATGGTAATAGCTGCCTCTTTGGTAGACATATGTCTAAATCTCACGATGCAATCTCACAAATATCGACACCCTGTCTATAGCATTGATAGCAGACGATTTTCCGTCATTTAGCACACAACATCAACGCTCCCCTGCCAAGCATGCAATATTCCTAGCAGACTCAATAAAAACGGTTGGCCCACTGCCAATTCCAGTTGTGTCATAGATCGCGATCTTTTTGGACTTTATACACCGGGCGCGAACTATTTCTTCTATTGCAGTTCCGGTGTAAATTGCCGGAAGATGAACCTCCTTCCGGGGGAATAACATCGTTGTAAGGTGGACAGTAAACGGTTTTGTAGATATAGATCGCTGGATTGTATAATGTAACCACAGGCAATGGCGCCGAATAATTTGTTTCTTTTAAAAAGGAAGTTGGGAAATCGTTGTACGAGTTTATTTATCGATTTTTGTCTGTTTTTTATATCTTTTTTAATTCTCAAAAAGTCCCAACAACCTAATCAATTTTGAACATATCTAACAGTGTAGGAATGTGTGGGGCCAAATGTGTAATATCAAATTGCTACGTAGACATGGAACCTTGTACCCTGTAGACATCTAAATGATGTCTGTCAACATGCCAAGGCGCCCTCTGGCGGTAAAGTTACACGAAAAGAAAACGACAAAATGTAATTCATTGAATGGGCACTTTTATGTTGCAAGGATTTTCTCAAATTGCGCAGTCGGAATTCCGTCTTGACAATGAATCCCGATGCTTCAAGTTGATGAGGAGGGGCGTTTTTATATTTGGTTAGGTGAATTGGGGTTTAAGGTCGTATTTGAGAATATTTCGCTCATATGACGACGTGCATGCGTGTGTATGTGTATGCGTGGCTGCTTGTACTAACCCAGACTTAAGCTGGTTTTATAGTGCTAGTTCACTGAGATACCAGGCCGCAGTTAAGCATGAATACTCCACTCAGACACATTATACTGACTCTGAGCCGACCAGCCCTTGTTGTACCCATTAATGCCGAGCGCCAGGCAGGGACCAACAGGTTTTTTATATGAACTATCTGAAGGGACCGAATGTGTGGAGAGAGCCAAGCGAAAGGAAAAACTGGTGTGGAATGTCTGCTATGAAGGACTGGTCAGTATGAAACAACTCTTACTGAGTCAGCATGTTTTGCGTCTAATTTTTGACAAGCCAATTTAGCAGACTACTAAATAAACATATGTGACTGTGAATACGTGCATGTACGTTACACAGGTAGGATGAATGTGCAAATATATTCAATATGGCGTACAAAACGATTGGATAGCGGATAACTCAAGGTTTAGTTCTGTGTTCAGATCCTAAATTGAATATGATATACATGTATATGAAAATAAACAATATAGATGTTTTAGATATCAAAATTAAATCCCATGAAAATAATCCCGTATAAATGGTACTTGGTGATTGTTCAGATCATGAACAATTGACTTGCCTTTGCATGTGTTATTGGTGCCACCGGTAGGGCAGGATAGGGCCACCTTTCCGCTAACATTTCATATCATTACAAATTTGATAATGTTTCTTAAACGCATGCACATGGTGTAATCGAACTCCTGTAACGGCTTGTACTTTTAAATCAGAGATTTGTTAGGATTATCAAAATGGTTTTTGTCACTTTCATTAAAAAATCATGATCCTTTTACGTGACAGCGAATACAACAGCCACAACGCTAAGCTGTTCAAACCGTTCCGTGTTCTCTGATCCTAAGCTGCAAAGCGTCTTTGTGAAAGCATGGTTGAGAATGTTAAAGATGTCTCCAGGGACTCGTTGATTTACGCTCCACATATTTTACTCGTGAGACTTGAATGTTACTCCTGAAATGTTCTGCTGCATAGAATCAGTACAACCATTCCGGAAGCACGGAAACCGATCATTTCGTCCCACCTTATGAGCATATATACTATTCCCACTTTGCTAAAGATCAAATCATTGATTCAACAGAAAACTATGATGTGGGGTCAAATTTGGTTTAAATATGGTGGATCCCATACCTGCTATTGACAAGTGTTGTGTACTTATCAATGACCCGTGCCATGGTTTGCAAAATGGTTGATTGGTGCCATGAAAAGTTGTTACTTTATGGTTACTTATGTATCAAGTGCATAAGGCTAGCTTAAAGTGGATGTTTTCCTAAAGATGTGTTACCATATCATTATTTTTCCAGGTATAAATGGATACAATTTTAAATGATAAATCTACGTTTAAGTAAAGTTGTGAACTTTTGTGATCCTTAGCAAAATGTGAGTAGTATAGTATAGAACTTTACCGCCACGTTTATGGGATTAAAATCAAGAAGCACACGCCATATATAGCGAAGTGAAGTGAGTGAGTGAGCTTATTTTACGCCACTTTTAGCAATATCACGGCGGGGGACACCATACATGGGCGTCACGCATTGTATCCATGTGGGCTATCAAACCCGGGTCTTCGGCGTGACGAGCGAACGCTTTAACCATAAGGCTAA